AATTCAAGAAAACTCCATAAATAAGAAAAGTCTACATATTGAAAGGGCCCACCACATACCTGGGTAAACTGACCTGAGTCTATCAACTCTGAGATGTATCTTAATACAATTTTATACTTTAGCGACAAAAGAAAGATCTTAAGGGCTTCCAGGCAAAAGGTCAAATCTATTCTTACCTAATAATAGACAAACATGTAAATTGACCATCCCTCTGCTATGCTCACCAGCCAATCAGGAGAGTATGCAAATTAACCCAACAAAGATGGTGGTTAATTTGCATACGTAGGCACGAAGTGGTCGAATGAAGACTGAAGGCTCCTGCCGGAGCAGCAAAGGCCTGGGCCCCGGGTGCCAGAGGAAAACTGGTGCCGGCAGCCAGGGAAAGGGAAGGCCTATTGCAAGAATCTCTTCATGCAACAGGCCTCTAGTATATATATAAAAGCCTAATATGCTAAGTGTCCGACCAGTCACTATGACGTGCACTGACCACCAAAGGGCAGACGCTCCAACTGGTAGGTTAGCTTGCTGCTGGGGTCCGGCGATCAGGACTGGGTGAGATGGGCTGGATATGCCCTGGAGCCATCTCATGGCCCCTCCCTGGCTGGCCGGCCCCCATTAGCCCCGATTGGGCCTGGGAGAGATGGCCCCGATCAGCCCCGATTGCCGGCTAGGCTGAGGGACCCCACCCATGCACAAATTCATGCACCGGGCCTCTAGTTACTGATATAAGAAAAAATTTACCTGGAATCAGACCTCAAGAATAATACACAAAGTATTGCAAGACGGGAACAGCATTTTCGAGAAACCCAAGAAAAGAAAATGCAAGCCAAGAATTTTATATCTAACCTGGCTGTCATTTAAGAAATCATGTATATAGAAAACACGTTTCAACTTTGAAACTCTCAAAACACACAAAAATAGGCTTGACAAATGAAAAGTATTATATACAATGGTACATCTCTAATAACTGTACTATGGTTACATCAGAGAATATCTCTGTTTTAGGAAAATATGCACTGAAGTATTAAGGAGTAAAGTAGAAAAATGTTTGCAACCTACTCTCAAATGGTTCAGATAAAATAAATAGTAATGTGCCCTGGTCGGTGTGGCTCAGTGGTTGAGTGTCATCCCATGCACCAGGTGGTCCCGGTTCGATTCCCAGTCAGGGCACATGCCTGGGTGTGGACTCAATCCCCAGGGTGGGGTGTGCAGGAGATAGCCAATCGATGTTTCTATCTCTCTCTCTCTTCCTCTCTCTGAAATCAATAAAAACTTTTTAAAAAATAAATAAAAATAGTCATGTGTAGCTGTGTGTGTATATACCTTGGAGATATTGCGAATTCAGTTCCAGAGCACTGCAATAAAATGAGTCAGAAAGGAAAGATTGGGAGGGAGCAACAGGTCACTGGGGACTGGACCCAACCGATCCCTTCCTGCTACCTGATTGCTAGAGAAAATGAGCTACAACACATTTCACTGACATTCTGGTAGCTACTGGAAGAAACTGGGTAACTATCCAGCCTTCGGCCATTCTATTCACATGAGGGGAAAAACAGTGTAAGAAGGCAGATTAGAATCAGAGCCACAGATGGCTCTAAAATTACTTTCAGCAGTGACTGAAAATAGCAGAGTCAATATATCCACCTATTGTTTTATTCATCCAGCTTCTCTTGAGACACTATGCTATTTATTCCCTTTGGTAGAATTTAAGAGCAAATATTCCAAAGAAATCAGCATAGGATGTGGCGAAAAAATTCATAAAATACCTAAATCCTAAATGTTCGGTTTTCACAGCCATCATTCAGGAAGTCTTATGCTTTGTAAATGTTGGCCAGCATTCCAGGGCAACTTTAATAAAATACATGTCTGACTTTCACACCACAAGACAGAAAATAATTTAAAAAATAAAATGTTGGCTAGGGAATATAGTCAATAATATTGTAATAACTCCGTACACTGCCAGGGGGTTACTGAAATATTGGAGGGAACACTTTATAAAGTATATGATTGTCTATTATGCTGTATACCTGAAATTAATATAAAATAATATTGAATGTAAAGTAATTGAAAAATAAAAAAATAAATTAATTAAAAGATAAAGTAATGCCCTGGCTGCTGTTTCTCAGTGGTTAGAGCAGTGATGGCGAACCTATTGAGCTCAGCGTGTCAGCATTTTGAAAAACCCTAACTTAACTCTGGTGCCGTGTCACATATAGAAATTTTTTGATATTTGCAACCATAGTAAAACAAAGACTTATATTTTTGATATTTATTTTATATATTTAAATGCCATTTAACAAAGAAAAATCAACCAAAAAAATGAGTTCGCGTGTCACCTCTGACATGCGTGTCATAGGTTCGCCATCACTGGGTTAGAGTGTCAGCCCGGACACCGAAGGATCAAGGGTTCCATTCCCAGCCAAGGACATGTACCTGAGTTACTCTTTTCATCCCTGGCCACTGTCAAGGCTCATGCAGGAAGCAGCCAGTCCTTCTGTCTCTCACATCAACTTTTCTCTCTTCTCCCTTTCCTCACTCTCTCCCTCCCTCCCTTCCATTCTCTCTAAACACCAATGAAAAAATATCCTCGGGTGAGGATGAAAAAATATTAATAATAGAGTAAAAACCAAATAAATAGTTATCATTAGATTAAGACAGTAGTTCTCAACCATGGCTGCACATTAGAATCACCTGGGAATCTTTTTAAAATCCTGATTTCCGGGCCTCATCCTCCGGAAATTCTGTTTCTTTGTTACGGAGGATGAGGCCCAGAAATCAGGATTATAAAAAGATTCCCAGGTGATTCTAATGTGCAACCAAGGTTGAAAACCACTGGATTAAGAGAAGGTACAGGCAAGAATCATGAATGGATGCTCAATGTAGTAGGTTAAATATTAGCTGAGGAAATGAGCATTTACAGAGTCTTGAAGTATCTCCCCACAAATTACTTATTTTAATTTTATTTATTATTTTTAAAATAGATTTTTATTGATTTCAGAGAGGAAGGGAGAGGGAGAGAAACATCAATGATGAGATGCATGCTCCCCACTGGGGATCGAACCTGCAACCCGGGCATGTGTCCTAACTGGGAATCAAACTGTGACCTCCAGCCCTGAACCTAACCCCTAGCCCCTAGCCCCTAACCCTAACCCCTAGCCCTAGCCCTAAGCCCTAAGCCCTAGCCCTAATCCTAACCCTAACCCTACCCCTACCCCTAACCCTAACCCCAACCCTGGTTCATAGATCGATGGTCAACCATTGAGCCGCTGGCTGGGCAACAGGGAGAGAAACATCCATGATGAGAGAGAATCATGAATCGGCTGCCTCCTGCATGCCCCCCACTGGGGATCGAGCCCACAACCCGGGTATGTGCCCTCACCGGGAATCGAACCGTGACTTTCTGGTTGACGCTCAACCACGCCAGCTGGCTGCTTCTTTTTGATTCTCGTTTGTCTTGTTCTTGGAGTTTAGTGAGGAAGCACAAGCAGCTTGTGGAAAGGAACTGAGACCTGCCCCCCAATAGTCCCAGTTGAGCTCCTAGCCAACAACCAGTATCAACAAGCCAGCCATGTTGCGAGCCACCCTGAAAATGACTCTTCCAGCCTCCAGCTGAGCTGCCACAGCTGGCAGTCCCTGGAGCACATGAGCATGGACCTGTGAACCAGGAGTCCAGCCCAAACTGCAAATTTGTGAGTAAAAAAAAAAGGACTGTTGTTCTAAGCCTAAGTTTTGGAGTGACTTGTTATGCAGCAATAGGTCACTGAAAGCAAGTAATAACCCAAGTGAGCTGATCTTTTAGGACATTGGAGCATGTGGCAGTATAGGCCTAAACTGTCATTCAGTTCATGCTGCTGATTTATTAATTCAAACTAATAATCAACTGATTTATACCACTCATCCATGTTTGGAAGCCTAGCCTTTTCAAAAGGTTATCTAAAAATTATGCTGCTCTCCTTTTGAGCAATGGCTATATTATATATTTTTAAGGTATACATATATATATATATATATATATATATATATATATATATATATGAAATGTTTGGGATGTAAATGAACAGAATGAATGTAATAAGTTTTAAAGGTACAATGGGCTCATTTATAAATCACTAAAGTATTAGTATTTCATGTATACTTATTTTTCAACAAGTATTATTTTTATTGGAAAAGGTAGAAAACACTGGAAAATAATAATCAATTTTGTCATTAAGAATGTTCATCAATGGGCCCTGGCCGGATAGCTCAAGTTGGTTAGAGTGTCATCCTGATATGCCAAGGTTGTGGGTTTGATCCCCGGTCAGGGCACATACAAGAATCAACCTATCCTATATAATAAAACCATAATATGCAAATTGACTGAACGGTGGAATGACTGGTAGGGTGGGGGGCAAGGCTGGCGAGCAGGCAGCGCCAGGCCAGCCAAGGCGTGTGCCAGTGGGCAGACCTACTGGTCGCCTCCTGCAGAGGGAGGCCACACTGCGGCTTAGTGGAGAGTGGGCCTAAGCCATCAGTCTGACATCCCCTGAGGGCTCCCAGACTGCAAGAGGGTGCAGGCTGGGCTGAGGGACCGCCCCCCCCAAGTGCATGAATTTTCATGCACTAGGCCTCTAGTGAATACATAAATGAGTGGAACAACAAATTGATGCTTCTCTCTCTCTCTCTCTCTCAAGTCAATAAAATAAAATGCCAATGTTACTAAAGACAAAGAACACTGTAGACCTATTCTAGATTAAGGAAGATTAAAAGATTAATCTAATAACTAAATGTGAATCTTGCTTAGATCCTAGATCTCCCCCCCTCTCCAACAAGAAAAAAACAACAGCCATAGCCTGGCAGGTGTGGCTCAGTGGCTGAGTATCAACCTATGAACCAGGTCAGGGTTTGATTCCTGCTCAGGGCACAGGCCTGGGTTATGGGCTGGATTCCCAGTGTGGGGCATGCAGGAGGCAGCCGATCCATGCTTCTCTCTCATCATTGATGCTTCTATCTCTCTCTCTCTCTCTTTCCCTTCCTCTCTGAAATCAATAAAATCATTAAAAATAAATAAAATTTAAAAACAGCCATAAAACTGTGAAAGTTCAATATGCACTGCACAGTAAAGTACTATACTAAATGTTAAGCGTCTGACGGGATTATTGTATTATGGTTAAGTTAGGAGAATGTCCTTGTTAGGAGCCAGATCTGGGATATTTCGGGGTGACCTGTAACGATGTCTACAACCAACACTCCGGCAAATTGTGTACGGACTACAATGTTTACCTGGTTGAAGAATTTTCTATCAGCTTCCGGTCAACGCTCTCCACAAACTGAACGAGCCAAGTGTCGTCTGTATGGCTGAGGACACACGGGCAGCCACATTGTCACCTTCCTGGGGCTAAGTGGAGCCTTGAGAGTTTTAAGCGGCCACAGCTCGGTGGGGGCCAGTGACAGGCTCTGGTTCCACCTTTGCTCGAGGGGCACACACAGACGCGCACCCACGCGCCTTCTGCACACCTCCGTGGTCACGTGAAGGCAGGCACCACAAGGCCCCGGTCGCGCTCTCGGGCTCCGTCAGGCACACACACAGCAGCAGCACGTGCTGTTCGACGTGCTTTACGGCAGTCGCATTACGGAGGGCGACAATGCGCCCCTGCCCGGCACTGCACGCCCGTACAGCGGCACGTGCTGTCTGCCTTGCTTTACGGCAGTCGCTGGAGGCGCGAAAGCGAGGCCACTATCCCGCCCCCAGAGGCGCGCGCTCGACAGCGGCCTGTGCTGTGTGTTGCACTTTACGGCAGCCCGGCTGAGGCGCGGTCTCCATGCCCACGTGATTGTGAGCTGGCCGGGCTTCCGTTGGCGTCGGCGCTCCCACTGCTCCGTGACCCCGGCGGCGATGGCGGCTGCGCTGTGGCGGAAGGCGTTGGACTACGTGAAGAACAAGGAGTTCCGCGACTATGTGACCAGCACGCACTTTTGGGGTCCCCTGGCCAACTGGGGTCTGCCGCTGGCCGCCTTTCGGGACATGAAGGCCTCCCCAGAGATCATCAGCGGCCGCATGACCATGGCGCTCATCTTCTACTCACTGGCCTTCATGCGCTTCGCCCACCGCGTGCAGCCCCGCAACCGGCTGCTCATGGCGTGTCATGGCGCCAACGTGATGGCGCAGAGCGTGCAGGGCAGCCGCCTGCTCATCCACCGCTACGGCAGCGGCGGCCGCGGCCTTCAGGCGACTGCTGACACCCACAAGGACACCCCCACCGACGCCGGCACCAACACCCGCACCGAGGCCACCACCAGCGCCGCCGCTGAGTGCTGGATTTATATCAGCTTCGATTAGGTGGCCGCCAGCCCCAACCTGCAGGCCCCGGGGTGAGGTTCGTGATGGCTGACATGACCCTATCGAATCTTCGCAGCTTGCAAGGACTGGACTGTTCTTCCTAAAGATGAAGGAAAAGTTCGGTTTTGATTGTAAAACAGTGCAAATCTCGTTGAAACCTGCAGTTTGGTTAATAAAAAATAGAAAGTAGCACAACTGACACCGAGTGTCGCCTCTTTCTTGATCTGGACATAAAGTATTTTGTAGATTGGTTGTTTTCATGGGACCTGCAGCTCGAGGGTTAGTTTTGTATGGGGAAGAAAGATTGAATGAAAGGTATTTCAAATTATGTATCTAACTCATTGCTTCTTTCTTTTCAAAAAACATTTGTATTGATGTCAGAGAGGAAGGGAGAGAGAGATAGAAGCATCCATGATGAGAGAGAACCATGGATCGCTGCCTCCTGCACACCCCACACTGGGGATCGAGCCGGCAACCCGGGCCTGTGCCCTGACCGGGAATTGAACCCAGGACCCTTCAGTCCGCAGACCTTCGCTCTATCCACTGAGCCAAACCAGCTAAGCTAACTCATTGCTTCTTTTATTTTCTTAAATTTCTCTGTTTTTGTTACTTGTTTTGGGTGTCCAGGGGCCAAATAAGGATGCTTAGCACACATGGCTTTTTAAAAACTTGGTAGAGCCACAAATCTCTTCACACTAAAAAAGTCTGAGGCTATTTCTACTGTTGGAAATATTTGGAAGTGAGCTTAAATGAACTCAGTGAAATACAGTTTAGACCTTTAAGGAGTACTTACTAAGAGAATCTACAATCTCTTGGTGACAGAGCAATTCTAGAATCTTCCATGGAAACAGGATAAACAACTCTGAGGTCAATTGTTATCAACCCTGGAGTCTAGATACCTAAACTAGAAAATAAAAATGACAAAATCCTAATCATTTCCTCCTCTCCTCATGCCTAAAAATAGGGCAAATGCAATTTGTAAAACTGGTTAACCTATCACCCTGGGTTGAACACTAGCTCTGCTGGGGGTGAGGGTCTGTGGTCAACAGTATTAGCCCAGATTACACCCCTAAGGATCTCGTAGGTGTTACAGATTTTTCTTAAACCAGGGAGCAGGGGAGAAGGGAAAAAGAGAGCAGTGGGGCTGGGGGTGTGAGGCCACAGCAGAGGCTACCCTTTAGGATTTGACCCAAAATCTCTCCCTATCTCTGCAGGATGCAGGAAGTTCCAGAGTGGTCTACTGGGGAATCCCAATGTATGTGTTTAACATTGCTGAAACCCTGCTTCTATTAAATCAGTGGTTCTCAACCTTCCTAATGCCATGACCCTTTAATACAGTTCCTTATGTTGTGGTGACCCCCAATTTCATTGTTACAAATTGAACATAATTAAAGCATACTGATTAATCACAAAAACAATATGTAATTATATAGGGCAGTGATGGGGAACCTTTTGAGCTCCGCATGTCAGCATTTTGAAAAACCCTAACTTAACTCTGCTGCCGTATCACATATAGAAATTTTTTGATATTTGCAACCATAGTAAAATAAAGACCCAGTGGTCGGCAAACTGCGGCTCGTGAGCCACATGTGGCTTTTTGGCCCCTTGAGTGTGGCTCTTCCTAAGCCTTAGGAGTACCCTAATGAAGTTAATAACAGTGTACCTACCTATATAGTTTAAGTTTAAAAAATTTGGCTCTCAAAAGAAATTTCAATCGTCGTACTGTTGATATTTGGCTCTGTTGACTAATGAGTTTGCCGACCACTGGGTTAGAGTGTCAACTTGATGCACCAAGGTTTCCAGTTCCAACCCCAGTCAGGGCACATACAAGAATCAACCAATGGCCTAGCACCGTGGCTCAGTGGTTGAGCATCAGCCTATGAACCAGGAGGTCACAGTTCATTTCCTGGTCAGGGCACATGCCCAGGTTGCGGACTCCATCCTCAGTAGGGGGAATTCAGGAGGCAGCCAATAAATGATTCTCTCATAATTGATGTTTCTATCTCTCTCCCCCTCTCCCTGCCTCTCTGAAATCAATAAAAAAATTTTTTAAATATATTTTATTGATTTCTTACAGAGAGGAAGGGAGAGGGATAGAGAGTTAGAAACATCGATGAGAGAAACATCGACCAGCTGCCTCCTGCACACTCCCCACCGGGGATGTGCCCGCAACCAAGGTACATGCCCCTGACCGGAATTGAACCTGGGACCCTTGAGTCCGCAGGCTGACGCTCTATCCACTGAGCCAAACCGGTTAGGGCATGAAATCAATAAAAATTTTTATAAAAGAACCAACCAATGAATGCATAAATAAGTGGAACAACAAATTGATGTTTGTTTCTCTCTAAAAATCAATCAATAAAAATCCATTAAAAAACAACTGTTTTTAAGTTTCTGAAATTGTCAGGTTTGGGATAAGACAGGCACATTAGTGGAACTCAGGAAGATACTCCTTTATCTTCTGTGGCATCTAAGCAGAATCCTCTTTGTAGGCAGTTTCTGCATTTCACATTCTACATGGTGGGGGTGTCAAACTCTGGAAATCTATAGTGTATTATTTATTGCTGTGGAACAAATCACCCCCAAACTTAGCTTTAAGCAAAGATTTAAAATTAAATAGCCCAACCAGTGGTGGCTCAGTGGTTGAGCGTTGACCTATGAACCAGGAGGTCCTGGTTCGATTCCCAGTCAGGGCACATGCCCGGGTTGCAGGCTTGATCCCTGGTGTGAGGTGTGCAGGAGGCAGCCGATCAATGGTTCTCTGCCATCATAGATGTTTCTCTCTCTCCCTTCCTCTGTGAAATCAATAAAAATATATTTAAAAAATTATTTATTGAGAAACCAAGATGGCGGCATAGGTAAACACCTGAAATTGCTGCCTCGCACAACCACTTCAAAAATACAACTAAAAGACAAAATGGACATCATCCAGAACCACAGGAAGGCTGGCTGAGTGGAAATTCTACAACTAGAAGGAAAGAGAAAAGCACACTGAGACTCAGAGGAGGTGCGGAAGTAAAGTGCGGAGGTACGGAGGCGCACATGGAAAGGGCTGGCAACTGAGGACACGGTTGTCTTTTTCAATTGGGAGGGAGTCTCAAGCTCCCGGCTGCTCTGAACTCCAGTTCCAGGCGAGTCTCTGGGGACCCAGACTCATTCGGGGAGAAACTGGACTGTCTGGCATCGGTCGGAACTCGAGGGCGGCTTTCTCAGAGGTGCTTGCAGCGATTACCGGGACACTGAGAATCGGGGCCTCTTAGGGCAGGACTGAGGATCAGCCATAGCTGTTTGCTCCCCACTGTTGATTCCCTGAGACCCCGCCCCACCCAAGCTGTGTGCAGAGGCTTTTGCATATGAAAGGCCTGGCCCTTTGCAATCTGGAAATTACCTAACAAACTGCAGCTGGGTCAGAGAGACCCTAACTTCCAAAAGAAGGCCCAAGGCCCCACAGCAGCTTGCATTGCTTCACAGCTGGGCCTCATCTGGGCACCACCAAACCCTAAACAAAGAAGAGGAACCTGCAGATCTCTCCATAGCTCCTGCTGGGTAGCCTCAGGAAGAGGCTAAATTAGCACCTCCTTAGAGATCCAAGAGCCAGTGTACCCAGTGGTCAGAGTGGGACCATCCAGATTACAACTCCTCAGATCCATAAGGGACACACTCAGGGGGCAGACTCAGTGAGCACCAAAGCCCCACTGAAGCAAGTCTTGCCCCAGAAGGGTGTCTCCAGCACAGAAGTTCTCCCACTGATTCTTACAGCTGATTCTCACAGCCAATTGGCCTGGAGGTCAATTCCTCCCAGTGATACCTACAACAATCAAGGCTTAACTACAACAAGACTGTGCACAAAGCCCACAAGGAGGTGCACCAAGAGTGTCCACCTCAGGTAATTGGGGAGCCTGAGCCACTGGGCCCTATAGGACACCTAGCACAGAAAGCCACTCTATCAACACAGGGAAGCATAAAAAATGTGGAGACAAAGAAACAGTTCATAAATGACAGAAATGGAGGAAAGCAAACGACTGGATATAGAGTTCAACACCACACTTATAAGGTTTTTCAAGAATTTTCTAGAAACCACTGATAAATTTAGTAAGACCCTCAATAAGTCCAGTGAGACCGCTGATAAATTTAGTGAGACCCTCAATAAATCTAGTGAGACCCTCGAGGATATGAAAAAGGACCAACTAGAAATTAAGCATACACTGACTGAAATAAAGAATATTATACAGAGTTCCAACAGCAGACTAGAGGATTGCAAGAATCAAGTAAAAGATTTGAAATACAAAGAAGCAAAAAACACCCAACTGGAAAAACAAAAAGAAAAAAAGAATCCAAAAATATGAAGATAGTGTAAGGAGCCTCTGGAACAACTTCTAGCGTACCAACATCCGAATTATGGGGGTGCCAGAAGAAGAGAGAGAGCAAGATATTGAAAACCTATTTGAAGAAATAATGACAGAAAACTTCCCCTACCTGGTGAAAGAAATAGACTTACAAGTCCAGGAAGCGAAGAGAATCCCAAACAAAAGGAATCCAAAGAGGACCACACCAAGACACATCATAATTAAAATGCCAAGAGCAAAAGACAAAGAGAGAATCTTAAAAGCAGCAAGAGAAAAACAGTCAGTTACCTACAAGGGAGTACCCATACGACTGTCAGCTGATTTCTCAACAGAAACTATGCAGGCCAGAAGGGAGTGGCAAGACATATTCAAAGTGATGAATAGCAAGAACCTACAACCAAGATTACTTTACCCAGCAAAGCTATCATTCAGAATTGAAGGTCAGATAAAGAGCTTCACAGATAAGAAAAAGCTGAAGGAGTTCATCACCACCAAACCAGTATTATATGAAATGCTGAAAGGTATCCTTTAAGAAGAGGAAGAAGAAGAAGAAAAAGGTAAAGATACCAATTATGAACAACAAATACACATCTATCAACAAGTGAATCTAAAAATCAAGTGAATAAATAATCTGATGAACAGAATAAACTGGTGAATATAATAGAATCAGGGGCATAGAAAGGGAGTGGACTGACTATTCTCGGGGGGGCGGGGGGAAAGGGGTGTGGGGGGTGCGGGAAGAGACTGGACAAAAATTGTACACCTATGGATGAGGACATGGGGGGGGTAAGGGCAGAGGGTGGGGTGGGAACCGGGTGGAGGGGAGCTATGGGGGGAAAAAAGAGGAACAACT